CCGGTATCGCTGAGGTCACGGGTTCGAATCCTGTTGAAGCCCTGATTTTTTCAGGCTTCTTCTTTCCAATTGCTTAAATTGGAAAATTTACTGCGATGATCATTCTTCACTTTCATCTACCACCACAGTTCAAATATGAATTATTTCATATATACTTCACATCAAAAAGCTTTTATCGTCAGGCAGAAGGGAATTAGAAAACCCAAAATTGACAGTTCAAAACCTCTTGTTTTAATTGAATCACACAGAGCTAAAGATAGCTCGTAATATAAACATATCTTTCCTAGCTTATTTAGCAGCAGTTCACCCGCACTATTATTAAAATAGGTGATACAGAAACGGCCATAAAGAAAGGAAAATCACCCATCACCAAAACACCAAAAAACGCACGACTTAAAATGCAGACTCTTAAGGCTATATGAAAACGAAAACCTCGCATTTAAAGGGATAACGGTGTATATGCCGCCTAACAAGTGATGTTATATATGCAAATCAATGAAAAATCCTCTAATTTCGCAAAAAAGCTAAGAATTAAACATTTTGAGCGCCCGCTGAATACGTAAACAAACTCGTCGGTCTGGAAGTATCAAGCACGCCAACAGCCATCATCCTTGTCTAAGAAAAACGATTATAGGGGAAAAAAACCTTTCCTCGAACACTAATTAAATGTTACAGATCGAGTTTGAACAGTAATGGACAAAAGAAACCAAATCTTAACACCGAAAGACCGGGGATATTCCGTGGAATATACAAAAGATATCATCACTGTCAAGTAAGACAAAATATTGTCGAAATTTGTTGGTTATGCCGATGCAGAAACATCGGTCATAATGTAACAAGCAACCAATACAATATTTCAAATCGAACAAAACGGTCAAAGAAATCGAATGGTCACCAACTTTGAGGCAATAACAGTTAGTACAAATCTAAAATGTTGTAAAAAACGTCGGCTCGTAAATAATGCAACGTTTCACTCACCTCAAAATCCCTGTAAGAAAAACCCCGAGAAAGCCTAAACATTTGCAGAAAAACGCATTTAAGGCGTAAAAAAATTGGAGAGATGAAGAACGAACTCAAATAGAGTAGGGTAGAACATAGTGTTTAGAGATAAGATCTTTAGGAGGCGGAGACATGACAATCTTAGAACACGTAATGCTGTCAGTAAACAGCTGGACTGTTGAATTGATAGATGCCATTACCTGTTCGCACTTCCAATGTATGCTCGCTCGAGATAAAGAAAAATACGAAAAAGAAATTCCAACGCTCCAGAAACAATGTGTAGCCGTCAGGAGGTAACGAGAACACAGCGCC